CCCCAAAACCCCAAAACCCCAAAACCCCAAAACCCCTTATTATTTATCTATTATTGAATGAATCACAACTTATCATAGTCATTACTTCTCCTTCCTGGTCGAAATATAGTTCAGATTTGAGGTGTATTTGTCTTTCAAAGGCGAGTAGTTCTGATATTTCTTAAAAGCTTCCTATAATATTGTCAGATAGAGCTTACTGTAACATAATGCCCAACTTTTACAGAAACCTCTTCCCTCTTTTTTGGAGTTTTGTAAAAATTATTCACAGAATTAGTAGCATTAAAGCCAAGATTCTTTCTGTAAGCAGATTTGAGCGGAGAAACTTCCTCAATTGTTGAGAAATTTTTCAAATATTTGGTCGTCATGCAATTACTATCATTCAAGCCGCCTTTCTCGATGTAGTTTAGCCTTGTCGCTATCTCCTTTCCATGATGAAGAGGATTTTGCTTCTTCCAATTCTCCTTGTATACAGACTTCTTAAATGAGGAATTATTTACTTTTCCTGAAGTTTCTTTTGGTTCTTGAATAAAACTATAATTTATCTTCTGTTTTGGCTTAATTTCCCATTGATATGGATGCTTCAAATCCACAAAAGTTCCTTTATTTGTAAGAATCAATGCTGTAGGACCTCTTTGAGAAAGGCATAGGAGCATTATTAGGCTTTTGTAAATTATATCTCTTATATTCTGGCTGTGATAGGTCAATATTCTTGTCCATATAACTCAGCCTTTCATCTCCATAATACATTTTATTTCCCTCTAATTTCCGTTGTGACTGGAGCTTTTATGTCAAGAATTTTGGTGCCTTTTCCAAACACATCTTTAGATTTAAACCGATTTTTCTTGAAATATTCCGTTGTCACTGCAAGTGGAATAAAATTAGAGCTTTTAGGATTCATTCGGCCAATACTTGAAGCAAATTTATCAGAGACAGGAAGAGAAGATACTATTTTCATGTTGATTCCTTTATAAACCGACCTATAATACATCGTACAGAAAGAGCCTGAGCGAACTTACTTCAACTTATGGTTTTCTTCCTTCTTCATTCTCTCTAGCCAGCACTGATCTCTAGCATTTGGATTAACCGATTTGTTTGACTGCATTAAATTATTTATCAAATAAAATAAAGGGGTTTTGGGGTTTTGGGGTTTTGGGGTTTTGGGGTTTTGGGGTTTTGGGG